TGACATCTTGTGTTCCTGAACTCTTCATCTGAAGAGAGAGTACTCGTGGGGAACTCGGGGTTTGAGGCAGCTTCGGACTCGCTCCAGGCTGTCCTGCGGGGTTGTGGAGAATGGTCCGGTCTCGATGTCGAGCAGACACACAGCGTCTTTGGGGTAAGTTTTGTGTCAATTTTTCATGCAGACATCTTCGCATTCAACCACTTATTTCTCAACTGTAAATCAGGAACCACATTCCAATGCTGCACGATCATCGCGCACAGACAGAGGGTCCAATACCGCCTCCCCGGCTGGCAAAATGTACACCGCTCTCTTATATGCATTGAGTACATCTGTACGGAGTAGACAAGTCGGGCTTGCTTCAATTGAAAGAAAGAAGAGAGTTGAATGATATTTGGTTGTTGTTGTTTTTTTATGGTGTATAAAGCTCAAACATGGCGACTGGGTAACAATGGGGAAAGATGGAAGTCGAAATTGGGGATATTCGGGGCAATTTAGTGGCTAAATATATACATCGGGCTAACACTTAACATTAGAATATAATTTCTCAATTGTATTATAATTTTTCGAAACAATGGGAGGTTTAAATGCTGCCTACATCAATAGGATTCTTCCTAAGATGACACGAATTGCAATACAAGCTGGCATAGCTAAACATAGCTGTATAAATCCCAAGCTATGTAGGTATGGAGGTACAGGGAAGATCCCGAGATACCCCGACCTGGAAGATAGTAAATGCTGGGGAAAATATAGACTAGTGTGACATATATAGCTAGTACTTAGCAGCCTGATTTGAAGATCTTCTGACTATATACGAGTATAGTACATTGTTCAATGTTGTTCCGGTGATGGGTGTTTTTCTCGGTGAATCCCGGGATACGCACAACCGGAAAGAAAAAAAAAACGAGAACATACCAGAAGAAGTAAAAGAAGAAGCTATAGATAGAATCTCATGAATTACTGTAATCAATTAGTATATTTTATATAGATCAATCCATAAGTCAGCATAATTGTGGTGTTCCGAGAGTCGGTTTTCTAGCGTGGCCGGGAGCCAATCAGAGCAAGGGGGTAATCATCAATGTCAAGTTTCTTCGACTTCGACCTCAACCTCCAGCACCTCTCTCCTGTACCATCCCACCTCCTCTCCCCACCCACCCCTCTCTCGCTTTGGCGATACAGCACCCATTCCCAATCAAATTCAATTGCTTGGGTTAAACTTCGTCATGCTGGGACGTTCGATTTTGCGCGCGTCCAACCGGGCCATCGCCCGCCAGTCCCTCGGGAAGTCCACGGTACGCCCTCTCCCCCATTGATCTTCACCAAAGAGGACAATCGATTCCTTGAACCTGCATTGGATCACAGAAGGTCTCCGTTACTAATATTCAACAGCGTGCCTCTTCCACCTCCGCCGGAGCCGAGGCCGCCAGCTCCCCCTTCTACCTCACACTCACTGCTGCGCTTGCAACTGCCGCCGCCGCCGGTTCCACCGCATGGTACTACCATCTCTATGGCCAGGAAGCCTTCGCCATGACACCTGCTGAGGAGGGGTGAGTGAAATTGCCCAGGAGGATCGCCGTACTTGTGGCCTCGGCGCAGCCAAGCATTGTGCGATCCAGGTTAAGAACAATGGCGGAAGCTAACGGGTGTTTTTATCCAGACTCCACGCTACTCAGTACCCTTGGGTGCACGAGCGATTCAACAAGACTTTCGATCACGCTGCGTGAGTGCTCTCTCCCCAAAGTCACATTTTTGCTCTCACCGGCAGACATTGTACTAACCCCAACCAAGTCTCCGCCGTGGTTTCCAGGTCTACCGTGAAGTTTGCGCCTCCTGCCACTCCCTCACCCGTGTCCCATGGCGCTCAATGGTCGGCACCATGCACACCGTCGACGAGATGAAGGCCTTCGCCGAGGAGCACGAGTACGACACCGAGCCCAACAACGAGGGCAACATCGAGAAGCGCCCCGGCAAGCTTTCCGATTACATCCCCGCCCCCTACCCCAACGAGGAGGCCGCCCGTGCCGCCAACGGTGGTGCTCTTCCTCCCGATCTTAGCTTGATCACCAAGGGCCGTCACGGTGGCTGCAACTACATCTTCAACCTGCTCACTGGTTACCCCGATGAGCCTCCCGCTGGTGCTGCCGTCGCCGAGGGCATGAACTTCAACCCTTACTTCCCCGGTACCGGTACGTAACGACAAGACCGTAACATTTGATTTTAGTGTTTCTGACTCAGTAATAGGTATTGCTATGGGCCGTGTCCTGTTCGACGGTGTTGTCGAGTACGAGGATGGTACCCCCGCCACCACCTCCCAGATGGCCAAGGACGTCGTCGAGTTCCTGAACTGGTCCGCCGAGCCCGAGATGGACGAGCGCAAGAAGATGGGTGTCAAGTCCGTTGTCCTCTTGACCGGTCTGTTCGCTATCTCCGTTTGGGTCAAGCGCTACAAGTGGGCCCCTCTCAAGACCCGCAAGGTCGTGTACAGCCCCCCGATCGGCCCCCGCCGTTAAATGTTGCAGCAAGGCCTTTTTGGAGTGGGAAAATGTGAGAGGCTGAAGAGGCCAGTACGACTTGGGGAACCCATACCACATCCCCGGTTTTGATACAGGTGCCTCAAAAGAGGCCTCTCTGTTTCGTCATTTTTTATGTGTCTATCTATTGGTCGCTGTGTCTGTGTTTTGTTAGAACGCTCCCCGAACACCTGTATCTGTATCCTAGATATATTCTTTTTTTCATTTCCTTTCGAAAACTGTGTGCTTCGAGGAGTCATCTGAATTTAATTTCCTTTGTGATTATGACAGATGAGACCATTACATATATGCGAGTCTCTAGGTAGAGTTGCAGCTTATGTCTGAATGTGCATGTCTGTATCATAGATGATATGGTATGTTCTGTGACTTGGCAATAAGACGAGTGGTACAGTGATAGTTTTCTAATTATTGTATATGCAAGAATCCGCATGGCTATAAAACATATCAAAGATAGCCTAGAAGCAACTTCAGGCCCGGGTATCATCCAAAACCCGCTCGCCATCTCCAAAGATACGAGCAAAGAAACAATCATAGCTAGCCCACATACCCGAAAACACGGTATTGGCCAGAGCCACCAGCCATGGCGGACTACGACCATCAGGACCTGCGCATATCCTGGAGAATGACATGGTCAAAATCAACGAAGGCGCCCACAGAACCAGGAAGATCACCTTCCCGATCTTCTGTTTCGTAGTTGCGATACGATAAGGTTTGATCTGCGCAAGGTATTCTTGATATGAAACAGGCAGACCATGTTCCGCAGCACCAGTCTTGATCAGCCCAAGGTAGCGGGCAGAGGGCTGAGCGTAGTTGGGGTCCGGCCGGAAATGTAAGCAGACGGTATACCACCACGACAGCTTTGGGCCACTGGGTAGCGGCGCGACATCCCCTTTCTGAGATTGTAATAGTAGACGGGCATTGTCCGCAGCTGGTGAGAGCAGGGTGCGTGCCTTGAAAGCTGGTGTGCTGGGGTAGTCTGGGACGGGATCGGAGGGGTCGTATGAATGATGGAAGGGATGACAATCGATGACACGGTCGCGATATCCACGACCACCGCCCTCCGTGGCGATAATCTTCGCGTAATCGGCTAGCGTGACTTCGTAGACAACTCCGACTAGAGGTTTATGCCACTGACGCTTATCACAACTCGAGACCACCTCCACCTCCTGTGTCCGAGTTATGAGCACTGCCTTCTCTGACAAGTGTTCACTGTCCAACAAATCCGTCTCGTCGTCTTGGAATTCAGAATCGTCGTCTTGGAGTTCGGTCTCGTCTGCTGGGGGAGACACATCTCTGTATTGTGTGCCTGCGAAACACGGCTCTGCGTACGGTACTCCTGGAAGATCGAATGTGAGACGGAGTTCGGGGACAAGCACAGAGATTTGTGACAGCGGTTTTATGCCGCGCATTCCGCGAAAAGTCTTGGAAGCTAGGTTTGACCCGTATGCGAGGTAGAGAACAGTCTCATCACTGGCGACGGTTTCCGACACACCAATCCCGTGTTCCTGCTGTTTGGAAATCTTCTCAGGAAGAGTCTCATCTTGGTCGAGGGAAGCGGCGACACATGAGGATCGACGGCGTTCAACGTTCGTTCTAGGAATAGGGTCGAGCTCGAGTTCGATATCAGGCTTAGCAAAGATAGCGGGGAGAAGGCCTCGAAGCCGGTCTAGAGCCTGGGTTGCGTTGAATCGGCATTGAGAAGCTGGCGCATCTTCGGCTTGTAGAGCATCTGCGGCTTGTGGCACTTGTTGTGCCATTGTGCAGATATATAACGCAATATTGGACGTATGAACGTGACACCTGTCACCTTATAAAGGCTTCTCAGCCGCACCCATGGAATGCATTGTCAGCGAACCAGGTCGAATGGGGATTATTAATCGGATCACGGATCGCGGATCTTGGACGGGCCGATCGGATCTCGATTGAAGCATTATCCTGAGGGTCAGTGTAGTGGACAGCCCTGGAGTTGAAGATAGTTTAGATCTGATATGAGTATGGGGAAATTATTTTGGGGAACCAAGTGCCTTGCATATATGTTGTATGATCTTGACAAGCACGCAATTTGAGATAAAAATAGAACACCGTTTACTTCCCCAGAATCTAGATCAATCTCGACATTTTTAAATTAGACTACAGTGATATAGATTCTTTAACTATGAATATACTTGTCTTCAGCCACTCAACTGTACGATGATCAACATAAGTCAACTCAAATAAGACCTAGGTAACCTTGATATCTTGATCATATCTGCAAATCAACCTTTGATTATCCACGATCTATGTTTATTATCTACATGTAGGTATGTATACAATAGGACATTTGAGGTTATAGTCGAGGTATCATGTGATCGATGCCGTATGCTGGAACTGGGCTTAGTTCAGCACCCTCATCAGCTGGGCAGCTCTGGATAGCACACTTCCCTTTACATCCCATCCTCATGTTCTGATTCCAAGTGTATGGCGACAGCAACTATGAAGCCAGTTCGAGGCTCACCTGCACCAATTGATCCAAACACAGGGAATAAAACGACTGTCAATGACCGAGCGACTTCGGGATACGGCCTCACAGACCCAGGTCGCCAAAAGCCAAAAACACTTCGATCCCAGCCTTCCGAGTCGAACATTGTTCGATTGAAGCTCACAAAGCCAAGGCACTCCAAATCCAATCCCCAAGAAGTGGACTGGGATGAAGATCTCCGTCCTACACCCAATGAGACAGTGGAGAATAGAGGGACCCATGGAGGAACCTCCGTTGCCGATACAGACCCAAACCGACCAAAGACAGTTGGCAAAAACAAAGGAAGCAAGCGAGCAATGCCATCAAAGCCACAAACAACTTCGGCAAAACGCAGGAAATCGAACACGAGGAAGAACACTATCAGCAAAGAGGGCGGCACCAAAGGGCCACAATTGCCATTGGTAACGCTTACTGCAAGCACTTTGCCTCCTGCAGACCATCTGGGAAATAGTGGGCCTTCTGATATGGGTCCATTGGACGGCCAAAGCAAAGACTATGCCACGAGGCGCAATGGACATGTGCCTGAAGCTTCGCACCAAGCTTCACCACCGACAGATGGCCACAACAAGCATGGAAATAAGAGCAAGGGGAGTGTGATCGTCGAGATAAGAAGCTGCACATCGGTGACAACTGAGTCATCCTCGGATTTCGAAGATTATGGCGAAGGGCCATCCCGTACTTCAAAAGTCAGTATTTTAGAGCATCGGGCACAATCCAATGGACAAACAAACAAAGGCAAAGCTGCTCATGTGACACCCGAAGTATCCTCAAGTTCCGGCGTCGATACTAAAGGGCCGACTACTTCAAAGCTCACCATCCTGGAGTCAAGGGCACTTCCCAAAGGACGAAATAGCCAGACCAAGGCGGTTCATGGAAAGAGTCATCCCAAACATCGTGGCAGAGCAGAGAGTGTTGGCAACAAACTGATGCTTGCGCTCCACGGAGCGGAGCCTTCTCAGAATGAACCAGTCAATGGTCCAACCGCTCCTCTCATCATCTCATCTGATCCAGTACAACCTGAGGAATCTCCGAGAAAGCAGCAGTCCGACGAAATGCTGACCGACACAGTGTTGGAACCTCCAAATATTGAATGCGTACTGGACAGAACAATTCCAGTCGAACTGAAGCAAGACCAAACCGAGCCTAAAACTGTCAATCCAGCATTGATTACCAAAACGCTTCCGCCCAAGGAAGAACAGATACTACAACAGGCAGATGACGCATCCTTCTGGCAGACCCTGGGCAATGACAGGTTATCTAGTACAGCGAGCTCTTCAGAATTTGAGATCGGCAGAGGCTTGATGGGTGACGGTCCTTCAATCCTTGATTACCACATGGAAATGGAACATATTCCCGGATTCGCAACCTTGCAACCCATGAGATCCGCACCGACCACCTCCTCACATGCCACTAACATCTGCGAAAGCCAGGCAAATAGCTCGTTGGAGACTTCAAATGCAGGAAATCTCGATGATCTCACAGCAGGACAGATTGAGGGACGTGGGTTTAGCCATACTCCGGAGTCCCAAAAGCCTCTTCTCACCAATGAATCCCCAATGGAACTGAATGCCGCGTCTCCCCAGCCCCCAAAATCAGTCCCAAAGACTAGCATTGTCGACAGCAACGGTAGTCCTCGACTCGTGCCTCAGTCAGCCAAGAGCATGGTTGCGCCTCAGTTCGAGCTGGACGACGAAAAGCACCGCGAAGAGACAACCAGCAACACTAATACCAGACTAAGTGAATACGATCGAGACTCGTGCAGCATTTCCACCGAGACTAGATATGAGGGGGTCATGTGGACCAAGTTCCAGAGAGACATGTTCTTGGAATATGGGATCCAAACGGAAAACCTGGCGAGATCTCACCCGTGGCCGTCATATCCACATAAAAAGCACCAGCCCTCGTTTTCTCAGGACACTGCTGATGAGGACAACTCCGAGAAAGCATCGACGACCAAACCAACTTCTTCACAGAGAACGATCGACGAGAGAGCATTAGGTGATGCTCCTTCAAAGAATCATGGGTTTGACGAATCATTCCGAACAGATATATCGGGGTCAACACAGCCAGCTTCTAAGTCGCACCAACCCTCTACGATGGGCGATCATGACGATATGGAATGGATATCAACCCTACAAGTGGCGCAGAAGGACGCACACCACCTGGTCCAACAGACCAATTCGGTGAGTCAAAACTCTTTATGTGCATGGTACTGCGTTAACTGGGGTTTAGCATTTGTCCACTCAGCTGGCGGCAGAAAAGGCCACTATCAGTCGAGTCCTGGAGATCTATCGAGAGGGATGTAGTCGGATGCTTGACGACCTGTTCCAGGCACAAGAAGCACGAATGCAGCTATACCGGCAGCAGATGCAATCTGTTAAGGAACAACATGCAGATATATGTCAAGATCTGGTTCGTGGATTGCAGGAGCTCGACCGTCGCGTACAACAAGGGCCAATCTGAAAGAGGGGGCGAATTCACAGGTTACACGTATTATTTTCAAGGGTGACACGAGGCTAGGACTTATAGATTTATACCAATTATTATAAGATCAATATATTTTAGCCCACATTTCTTTTTATAAATGGGGTCGCCGTGATTGGAACTCCAGCGCCGGGCTAAATTGACCGAGGATCACGTGGATATTGTTATACTCTGAGCGGTTGACTCATTCAAGGGCTGTTTCTTCTTTATTATCTTTATTTTGAAGAATTGTTAACTCTTCTATATTCACTACACTTCAATTTTTCCCAGTTACCCTTGAAAATCTGCCATCTTCCCTCTTGCCCCTCTGCCTCCGATGTCGGTGAGTCAACTCCCCCTCCATTAATTTTAAATTTCACACTGACGTCGCCAATTGCACAGTTCTTCATTGATAACCCTAATGTGGGCAACCAAAACCACCTGGAAGACTCCCGCAGTAAGTTGGATCATTTTTAAACCAATTGCTCTCTAACAGCTTTAGTTCTTGGCTACAACCCTCTCACCCCACCCAATCTCCTCCAACATGAGATCGCATTGACCGAGACCTCACGAAAGACCGTACTCGACGGACGCAATGAAGCCGTCGCGATTGTCCACGGCACAGATAAGCGCCAGCGTATGATGGTAGTGATCGGACCCTGCTCCATCCACGACCCGGAAATGGCCCTCGAATACTGCGATCGCCTAATGAAGATGAAGGCGAAGTACGCCGACGAGCTGCTCATCGTGATGCGCTCGTACCTCGAGAAGCCACGCACAACAGTCGGCTGGAAGGGCCTGATCAACGATCCCGATATCGACAACAGCTTCAAGATCAACAAGGGTCTCCGCGTATCGCGCCAGCTGTTCGTCGACCTGACCAACAAGGGCATGCCCATCGCCAGCGAGATGCTCGACACCATCTCCCCCAGTTCTTGGCAGACTGTTTGTCCATTGGTGCTGTTGGTGCTCGCACCACCGAGTCCCAGGTCCACCGTGAGCTTTCCTCCGGTCTTTCTTTCCCCGTCGGATTCAAGAACGGAACCGATGGCTCGCTCGATGTCGCAGTCGATGCTATTGGCTCCGTCAAGCACCCACACCACTTCCTGTCCGTTACAAAGCCAGGTGTTGTTTCCATTGTTGGCACAGTTGGTAACCCTGATTGCTTCGTTATCCTTCGCGGAGGAAAGAAGGGCCCCAACTACGATGCTGCTAGCATCGCTGATGCCAAGACTAAGCTTTCTGCAAAGGGCATGCGTCCCCGTCTTATGGTTGACTGCAGCCACGGTAACTCCGAGAAGAACCACAAGAACCAGCCCAAGGTCGCTGCTGTGCTTGCTGAGCAGCTCGCTGCCGGCGAGGATGCTATTATGGGTGTTATGATTGAGAGTAACATCAATGAGGGTGAGTCTTTTAGAGATTTTGTTATCTATAGAAAGCTGTTTATACTGACCTGCGCTAGGCAACCAGAAGGTCCCCGCAGAGGGCAAGGCCGGTCTCAAGTACGGTGTCAGTATCACGGATGCTTGCATCAACTGGGAGGACACCGAGTCAGTATTGGAGGTTCTGGCACAAGGTGTTCGTGCTCGTCGCGAGAAATCGGAAACGAAATAAGCTGTGTTGGAATATTTAAGTTAAATTACAACGGGCCATTTCTTAAGCGTGTCAAAAATCAAAAGTTCAATGATTTTACTTCAGCCTTGAAGCTCAACACGTTCCACCTTAAGGCAATGTTCGCTACAGCGAAGTTCCCACTTAGGTATGCATTCTCATAGGGTTTCGGCATTTGTAGTGGAGAGATATGGGGCCAAAATTAGCCCTATGCCGTCATCAGGGTCCACGCTACCTCGTTGAACCTGACTTGACCTAAAATGCTTATATATCTTGGCTGGAAGATCTTCAGGGGAAATAAAAAAAGATGGATCAAATTTGCTATGAGGTATCTTAGAAAATTTGGTTATCCATACAATCAAATTCCATGCTGACCATCAGTTGGATTGCGTCAGAGTTGAGATCAGTTCAATTGCCATCAGAAGAGGTCCCGTTAGAGGAGTTTACATCAATTCGGTCCCTAATTCTAATCTCTCGCGGCATGCTTGCTGGGAGCTCATCGAGCCCAACGAACGGCCAAGGGAACCAGTAAGCGACGTTGTCTTCCCACATCGCATGCTTTAGCATGAAACCAGTTGTGCAGTCAGAATATCGAGAAAAAAGGTCGTAGCCTCTCCTGAGACAGAACAGATGCATTGCTTCCCGCTTAATCAAATAGGAGTAGTTAAACTGGACCTGGATGCCCAGAGCATCGAGTTCTTCCTCATCATATGCATGCAGTCCTTCGTACGAGAAAGTTCTAAGAGAGGGATGGGAGCCACCCTCTTTGTGTCTCATGAATGATTCTAACGCCCCAAGTGCTGCCATTTCGAATTCCATCAGCTCTGTGTCTGGCCAGAGATCAGGCCTTATGTGAAGGGCTTCTAGAGTTGATGGCAGTACATCTTGAAGGTCATAGATCGTTTCACCCCAACCAACGAGGAAGTTGAGCGGCAAAGATGCCGTTTTCAAGTTGGGAAACTTCTTCAACATGCCACAAAAAGGCTTACTAGCTTCATCCGACAAGCGCAGACGGAAGTTTGCTATACAACATGGGAGAAGCTCCACGCTGATAGAAAGGTGTTTGATCGTTTGACTCGAAGTTTCCAAGGACCGAAGAAGGGACTCAGGCCGCTTGAGAAACTCGATTGTTGCCCGGCATTTGTAGGCCAGGCCCACATGCAAGGACTCCAGATATGGCAATTCAGACAGCAGTATGGCGATATCCTCAGGCAAGACAGCAGTCTTGGCAATAACAAGACTGCGCAGGTTTGCGATCTGCAAGGGTACGCTCGGCATCTGCGTGGACCAGAAACAAATTCCCTCCGCAATAGGGAACCATAGCTCGAGAATTTTCAAGGAAGGTGGAACCAGGGGATGAATTGAGAGGTTTTGCCAGGACGGGCACTTTCGCGGAATTCTGTGAGAGGCAAATTGCTTCCATAGTCGACCATTTCTAATTTTGAGAACTGAGTAAATACACCAGGGGGTGCGTTGCCGAAGAGAGAATGGTACAACATTTCCCCAGGGAAGCCCCCTTCAAGCACGAATGAAAAGTCCAGTCGAAGGCTGCGAAGGTTGTGAAGTTGTGAGACCAGCAGTGTGGCGTGGACGTAGGCATCTCCATCATTGAGTCGTCGGATCCATTTGGTATCGAGGATTGCCGTGAATTTCGCATCTCGAATAACCTTTCGGGCCCATCTCAAAGTGGGCCTAAACTCTAGCATTGTCTTGGCCCAGTCAAGCTTTCCTTTGGGGATGGGAATAACTCCTTTGTGGGATCCCACGTTCCACCATACGAAACTGATGTGCCAGATGTAGTAAGCCAACTCTGGTCGCTCGGAGATAGTTCGGAGGAGGAGTAGTATTTGATGGACCTGGGGATGCTCCCAGTCCCAGTGGATTGATCGATACAGGAAAGGCTCAGCCGAGGCACGAAGCTCGTAGGAAACGCGTGACAGACTGTTCAAATCATCTTTTGGTAGACACTCTAGTATCTGTAGCCAGCAGTCACGAGGGAGGCTTGCGAGGGGAGTTGAAGCCATTATCGTCAATTTTGTACAAGAAAGCTGGGTAAGAAGTGTCAGGATAATTGTTAGTACAATTCATGGGTGTCAACTTACAATGTCAAACGTGAAATTCGCAAAGAAAGTCTCCCAAGAGGGATGCCGAAAGGCGAACAGAGGGAAGGAATAGATAAGGGTAAATGGAAGAGACAGACTGGATGAAAAAGAGGGACAAGAGAATGAAAGAGAGATGAAAGAAGAGGGAGGGAAAGGGACGAGACAAGAGACGAAAGAGGAAGGAAGCCAAAGTCAACAGGAGGTGCAGACTGCAACTATGTTCAACACCATTATATTAATACAAAGGAATCTTAAAGTCTATAATACAAGCCGCAAAAGATGATCGTCGAACTGATGGATGTACGTGACCAGCAGCACAAGGCTTGATCCCATCCACCGAATAGCGACCAGCACCATAACCCACAAACCCAGTCCTCACCTCCTCGAACTTCCGTTTCCTCGAACCACCCAACCCCCTCTGAACGATGCCAAGGTCCTCCAATTCCCCATCAGAGCCGACACCAAAAGACCGAGTGGGAGCATGACCAATATCAACATCCAAAACGGTGCCTTTACCATCCTCCCTAAAAGCCCAAACCCTGACTCCACCTTCAGAAGACTGCAAAGCAAGCTCCACAGTGCCCTTAACAGATCCAATCTCCTTGCCGTATATCTTAAACGGCCACATCATAGCCGTAGGCCGATACGAGACAGACAAAACAAACTCCCACTCCCCATTCTGGTTCTGCACCAGACTCTCGCGCTGCTTGCGAGTCCGCTCCGAGTCAACGTACCAGTCTGGCGCGAGATCGCTGTCGCCCATTACCCCATCCCCTTGACGTTCACGCTCTTTGCGGATCATGTTGAATACGTCCAAGGGAATGGAATATAGCACGAGGCGGTCGCCGTAGGCTGCGACAACACGGAGACCCCAGCGGAGGTCGGAGCCTGCGGTGAAGGTTGTTGGGATTGGGAGATCTTTTGGAGACGGGACTGTGTTTGAGGGGGATGGAGATGGGGGTGGTGTCTTGATCTGTCCGTTTTGGGTGTTTGAGAAAGGCGGCGGAACACAGACGAATGCGCGGGTTAGGCTCGTTGGCCCGCCGATTGGAGCGTCAGTGCCGATACATAGGAGGCTTGTGCGTGGCTCGATGAACATGATGTGGAACCCGTCGTTGATTGGGACAGCACGGTAGTGGTGGCAGTGTGTTGCGCGGATGAAGCTGCGAGATGGAGCGTGTGGAATGCGGCGGCGGTTGTAGGACTGGATATCTGCAAGGAAATGGAATTGGCTGTTTTTCGGGTCGAGTTTTGGTGATGATAAGGATGGTGAAGATAAAGGTGAGGGTGAAGGGGGGCATTTGCATTCATGAACGCCCGGTCCGGATAGCGAGGAAATAAGACGTAGTTCGTTGGGTGTTTCTGGACTACTTGGGAGGAAATGAAGGATCTCAGAGGGTTGAGGGACGGTGAAATATCTGCGTTGTTCATTGCGCTTTGTTTCACCCACGCTGTGGATTTCGATGCCCGCAGCGCAGCCGAAGGCAACGACTGGCTGACCGGGACAGAGAGCAACTGTTCGGGGTGGGTTGTCTACTGTGCAGACGTTGTAGAAGAAGTGACGGGATGAGGTGGCCATTTTGCTATTAGCAAGTCCTTTGGTAGCCGGGGCTTTAGCCCAAGCCATATCCAAGTTGCAGATCATGCCAACGCGGTTGCGAAGCAATGCAGCGATGGTGAATTGGGGCTTGCTGGTGTCGATGGCGGCCGAGAGGACATCGAACGGACATGAGACTCGTGAGACTAGTGCCAACTCAAGATTGCTGAAGACTTTTGCAGATATTGGCCTAAACTTCCGACCCGAAAGAGAATAAATATAGATCATGCAGCCAGTCGTCACGAGCAAGTAGTTGCTGCAACTGCTAATGCTGAAAGTTGACACTGGCCCTTTGCCCTCGGTCTGCAAAACCGGCTGAAGTCGAGTGCCGCGGGACTTTCTTCCTGCAGAACCAGATAGACTTGAAAAGTCTACGACAGCGGTAGTCAAAAAGCCCGGCTTCTCGACATTCAACTTTCGCCCCGAAAGGAGACATTCTGTCGCAAAACGGCGGCTCATTCTCCAGACCTCGCTCTCATCTAACCGGGAGATGCGTGGCGTTTTGCGGTCTTGCAGCCATGCATCCCACCACCCTGCTCTTTTCAGCATACTCTCAAGCAGCTTGTGGTTCAGGCTAATCCGCATCCACTGTGAGCATGTCCGCCGGGCGTTGTCGAAGTCCCGCGGTGTCAGCATGGAGAAAATCTCCAGTAGGATCTCTGCTGGTGCAATATTTGCAGCAGGGCGGGATGAGCTGGTCGTCGAATTCCATTTTGAGAGATGTCGAATCGGCGACATGTATCCTGCTCCGGACTTATTCGAAACTGAAGGTATTGACCTTGTTGAGCTTCGTGTGGGGTGAATGATGGATGCATTTGTGGGCATCTGATGGGCATAGTCTTGACTTGAAGATCGCAGTGCAGGCATGATGATACACCCTTCCAACACAGAGAGTGATCTTATATTCACTACTGGATCTCAATCAATTCCAGAACATTGCTTGAAAATCAGATGTTGGAATTGGATCAATGTGAATTTGACGATAATTCAATTGATTGGCGTCCAGAACGAAAGTGCTTCAACAATTGAGAATACACCAAGTAGCACGATCCAAGATGGTAATTGAGTGACGCAAAGAGCCGAGAGGATATATATCTCCACCCAAGTCTATACGGCACTAAGCGTCCGATGAATTGTCTAAAACACCAGTAAGCCCACTGATCTGCAATCTCTCGAGCCCGAACTTCCAGTAATTTTAAAGAAAGATCACTCACATTTAAGAAAAGTCTATTCACCACGATACCAGGGTTGGAAGTATGTGCTAAGTGCAAGGTTGTATCGGCCTTCTGAAAGCGGTGCGGGAAATCTGATACGATAAAATGAAACCCGAGAGATTCGAGGGCGAGGCAAGGGCTGACTTGTTTAATTAAATACTGCACCTCACCATTTCCAGAGGCAACAACTAAGTTTTTCATCTAGTTCAATCCAATTACAATGAATTCTGATGTCGACCCTTAAATGGAAAGGAGTCTAGGGCACAGATGTACCACGCGGAAATCCGACAAAAAAAAGTGGAGCACGTCAAGAGACATGTAGATCCATTTATGAGACCTATTTAGGTAAGTCTACGGCCCCGGGTGTGGTTAATACCTATCATGCAATGCAGCTACTGCCATTCTCCATGATGGAATGGACAGGCAACGAGGTTGATGGTTTAGGGTTTGATGATTCATCTAGCAGCTTACCTAACTTTATCGATTTGGAGATCTACTTTCAATCTATTCAAGGTAGTTACCGTAGTAGCCCGATTACTACCAGACTTTCACTGAAAAGGAACTATCAATCTACACTGACATTCCAGAGGATCTCGGAAAAAGAATTAAGGAATGTCCCCCGATGCAGCACACGGCTTGGCACTCATCAAACCTCACCGCTTACATGCATATGTCTCGAATCGTGTGAGGATGATCATAACAATGAGACAATACTAAGATCCTGGAAGAATTAGTATTTAGTTCAGGATATCCCACATTCCTCGACGCCCAAGGATGGTTTGTTTTGTCTCTGCTCTTTTTTTTACTGTTTCATCTCCTCACCGCAAGAGAGACAACTGTGCCATCCCCCACTGCTCAGGAATGTGCCCCGACCCATGTGGACCCTAGGGATTCCAGAAGCCGGTGATTCCGTATGTGTTCGAGGTATGTCCGCGCTGTTAGATTGATCCGATTTGCAAATTCACTTTTCACTTGTAAAGAAGCGTTATTGGATGGATGTTGTATTGGTCGCAATTGTGATGTGAACCCCTAGCAGAATGATCCTACAGGCCGCCTCATCGAAGTCAATCCTTTCAACACACTTTTTCTCTAGACAATCGTATAATTTACATTCGTCTAAATATTTCTGGATTCGTTAGGCAAAATGAAGGTTCAGATTTCCCATCCGCGGTTCCTTCGGTTAGACCATATTGACTTCGTGCTCAGACATTGCCACGTTTCCCGCGGGCTTATTTTGGAACTAGGGAATGTGGGAAAAGAGTAAAGATAAGCGAACCTGACGTCTTTACCGAGGAATTCTAGAGACGAGATGTACCATGGAGCCTGGATTGTGTGTCAAAAGGCACGAAAGGCAGCCGCTCATGCCTGACGGGTAGATAAACCATATTAGAAAGCGACGAAATTCAGGGATCCCCAGTATCATACAAACTCTATATTCGATCTTGACATGATCACTGAAAAACATAGAGGGATTGGAAAATCAAATAATAAAATTCAACTACTGCGCGGGAGGGGAATAGCGAGGGACAGACGAGACGAGCCCGACAAAAAGGAAAGTAAACATGTCACGCAAGGATATCATAAACATGAAAACATATCAGAACAAGATAGTGATATGCGAGCGAGGTATCAAGGTCGTAAAACATGATGGATCAAAGACATATGCAGAAAAAAAAAAAAAGAGTGTATAGACAAATGGCATGGGGATAGACATGCAAACCTAAACGTTCGGGGTCTGATGAGCCTCAAAGGCGGACGCGCCATTTCCATTGCCTCGAGCGGCGTGACCGGGAAGCCAAGCAGGATGCAGCGGGACAATCAAGCTCGGGTTGACATACCTCTTCAGCCGCAGCTCGAGGTCCTGTCCGCCAATGCGTATCGGAAGGCTATCGCGATCCAGGCCCGATAGCGGTGAGAGGGTCGATGAAGGCGACGGGGAAATGTCGCCACCCGGCTGGTCTCGATTGATACTCTTGAGGGCAATAAATTTCATCAAGGGCTCGTATGTACGGCCAAACCAGTATGAAAACCAAACGGTGAAGCCTAGAAGTGGAACCAGGAGTAGCGACCGGGTGATGGCGCGGCGCAGAGCCAGAACGCCAATCATGGCCAGCTGGTGAACCACCAGCCCCACGAATACGCGGTTGCAAATCATCGGCCATGCGCGGCCAGTGGAATGTTGCTGGTGATCCATGGCATACAGCAGTTGGTATTTGTAAATAAATTTGCCGACGGTGAAGTAGATCAGGCCGAATAGACAGATCAGCCACGAACTTGGGAACACACTGTAAACCACGCAGATAACCAATATCAGGATGGTCTGCGGGATGGAGAAACCGTAGCTAAACTTGGGTGGGGTTGATAGCTCCGCATATTCTCGTGGCGTGCGGGCTGAGAGGAAGTGGAAGGGGTATAATGCGACACTTCCGAATTCAAGGAGTCGGAAGGGGAAAAGGCCCAGACCCTGAAGAATCAACAGGTTGATGTAGAATGGAGCTAGGCCTTCGAGCGACTTGGCCAGTGCGAAGGCAATCGTTGTAGAATCTTTGAATGCATCCCGAAGATTCTCCCAGAACCCGTAGAAACCACTCGCTGTTCCAAACACAGTGAACAGCAGGAACAAATTGAAGAACGAGAAGAAGAAATTCTTGGAGATAATGGACAGCTCAACATCACCACGTGACACCATTCCTTGGTTGTTCGAGAGCCCTGCAAAGACGATCAGCGATTTGAGCAACTACAGGAAGGGAAATGTTCAGTGGATAACTTACACTCATATACATAAGGCACAGCTACCGTCAGCAGCGAGAATGCAAGAGTAGGCAAACCTGTTTGAACCAACGACTTGATGATTGGATGCTCCTGGAGGAACTCTGCCAGCTGGGGGACAATCTTATGAAGGGTCTCCAGCTCCAGTAATGAGGCAATAGGAACCAAGAGCACAGACCAAAACACAGTGAGGAATCCAATGACGATGGTGATAGACCACGACTGAAACATTCGTCGAGTGCGAGATAAATAAGTGTTCTTCCAAATAACATCTGCCGGCGCAGGTGCAAGTCGAGCGAACATTTGCATTGGGTGTGGATCAAGGATCGCTTGAACAAGCATTTGAGATGCGGCAATTGACTCCATCGTCACGAAAGCAATCTCGGTAGTAAGGTATTCTTTCTCGCGGGCGTTTTGGATATGTTCGTCAATCTTCCGGAGCTTTTCCTCATAGTAATCGATTGCATCGATCAACCGGAAACGAAGCTTAAATGGACCATACCAGATGCGAACTTTGGGTCTTTCATTCGCATAGTCCGAGACATGCTCGTTCTCGTGTCCAGATAGGAGCCCGGACCGTTCATCGTCTGCGTCACGGGGTGGTTGGTTGGTAAGTGGCAATGTATTCCCATCCGTCTTTGGCCGCTTGTATCCCACATGTTTTGTCCATGCTCTCTCAAGCTCACGGATGACTTTCATTCTTTCGTCAATTAATTCGTCCAGCTCGCGCCACTTCCGGCACACCGTGATACTCTCAACTTTGCCGACTAGCAGGCCTTCCACAAATTCTTTGATCTTATCTTCGGTCCCCAAGTCATGTGGGATGCCGGACAAGCGAATGGTGCGATCAGTGGTGCTGGTCTGATTCCCGAGATATGTTTGCCGAGTGCGGATGATTACTTTTGTCTCGTCAAGAAGCATATAGATGGCCAAGCCACTGAAGACATATGCAAACAACACATAAATCCACAGATATGTAGGGTCTGTAACTGGCTTTTCCTTTTCAAATTCACCAATTGGAGTCATAGTCTTATTTTCGGGGATGTGATCCCAGCCAGGAACTCCATATTGGCCGGTGTATTTGTAGTGCATAGGGAGGATGATCGCAACAGCGAAGATAAAGACAGACAAGAGGAATCGGATCGCAAACTTGAAGAAAGACAAGAACTGCCAAGAGACTCAATTTAGCAAGGGTCCATTGTATGATAGAGATGCTAAAGCATTTGAACATACCACATATGCATCCAGGCCTGCAGACTGTAACACTTCCTCTTCTGTAATCCGATGGAGAACGGGTATCCAACCGAAAAGGGTATCCGGAAGCTCAGGTAGCCGCGAAGCAGCATTTCTTTGCCGGCGTCGCGCGGCATACAACTCGGTCCATTTTGGTCGTAAGATCTAGAAGTGAAGCAGTCAGCGATGAACAAAGCCTCCACCTTATAGTGACAACAATACGTACACAGAATGTCAAAAATGCGCTGAGACCTAGCGCGGAGCTAATCACAAACTGTGTGTACAGATCGCGCTGCTCTCTCAATTGATCTTCCCACCGCCTCTTGCTTCCGCCATCGGGGCTGTCGGCAAGCAAGGTCAACACAGCGGAGGTCGCGGATGCTGTAAGAGACATGACTCTGCTTTACAATGGGTCTCCGCACTCTGGGTTTCCGTGATGGCTTCGACGAGCGAGGGGCTGTCGGAGCTAGTGTTTCGTCAAGGGCATGCGGCAGGACTCCGTTGATCACCGAAATGACTGACGTCAGGGAGATGGGATGGTCAACCGTTGGAGACGATTCGATTGCAATTTGTGTCGCAATTATTGTTCGAGTCCTTTGATTTGGTTTTTGAGAGGAGATTGTGAACAATCGGTGAGTTTCCCCCTTTGTTTTTTTTTGGCTTTTCATCAAACCATCAATGACGGCTTTCCTAGGCGGCTACATATAGATGAGTCATCATTTATGCGCATAACCTCATTTACGTCTCCAACCGCCAGTGCGCCAGATTTTGCCTATAGTATACTGTCTAATATGAGTATTTTCTACATCTGAATAAACTAACGTCCCACTAATTCTCTATCTAAGACTATCTAAAAAGACTGCTAGAAAGACCACTAGAAATACTACCAATAATACTACTACAAAGACTACACAAGACTTAAGCGGCCAGGGATTCATTATGATACTTGAATTATTTATAGAATAGAAACCGACGGCGAGCTAGGTCAAAATCTACTATAGGAGAATCTGTTATGGCACACTGGTGGTTGGAGACTGCCGTAGCCTCATTGCATGAACTATGTGGCAATGACAGCATTGTACATCTACATTGACCCAACTTTGAAATGATTTCTGCAGATCATGTAGTTTAGATTGCAATAAATCTGACGCGGTGCAACTATGAATCCAGTTAAGACGCTGAAAAAATTTGTCAATGCATGATATCTACTATGCAATGTGTCCAAGGAAATATCCAATCAATCGTGTATCCAAAAGCCAAAAACAAATCTAGGAATGCTTCGCTGCGTCATAATAGAGGTCAAGCAGACACCCAGCGGACCAGGATTGGGTGGGTGACTATAATTTCTGTTAGTATCCTGTACAAAAATATATCAATACGAAAGTAACTCACCGAATCATTACAATGCTCTCCGGCCTTGTTCGATAATTCTGTTAGCCCCTTCCAAGGGCTCTCTCGCAATGCCTTCTTGCAACCATCAAGTCGTCGGGTGACTTGCTGGAAGCATTCAGTCCGTTCCTCGGGCGTCTTCCGGCGCAGGAGATCGAAATGTAATAGGGCACGGAGGAAATAACCGCGTTGCCAGACCCACTCCGGACCCTGATGGTAATTGCGACCCTTGGCAGTCGCAAAGTCATCGGAGTCATCGGAGTTGATGTAGTATGGGCGGTAGTTGAGATCAGATGGGTCCAGTGTCGCCATGCCCACAGGGCCCACAATTGCGGAGTCGGCAATCGATAGAGCGACGAGAGCCTTTTCAGGCGTGAATAGCTCCGGAGCGACTGTCATTGCGATGGGGAAATTGGAACGAAGCTGGTAGTCTTCGTAGGGTTTGCCCGACTTGTACAAATCCTTGTAGATTCCTCGGCGGTTGACGATCTTCGCGTCCACATCGTACTGGCTATCTTCGCTGGGATCGAGGGGAACAAAGTAGCACCGCTCGAAGTTGTCCTTGATTTTACCGGCCCATTCGGCAAAAGTGATCTTCTTGCCATCGCTGATCTCTACGCCCTCATGAGGATACGTCTTGGATTCGTGGAGACGTGCCACCCACGCCAGAGCGCTGTAGGCGAGACCGGTAATCTCGATGGCGGCACCGTCGCGGGGTGTTCCAGGGAAACCCTTGTTTCCAGCCTTAGTGCTTTCTCCCATCTTGTCTTGCCAAGTACCACAGTTATCCTGGTTGCCACCGAAGATCAAACCTGTTTCCCAGTCAACCTTAATGTCGATCTGGAAGCCTTCGGGCTTCATCTGACAATCAAGATCGGGGCCAGCGTTGTATTCTCTGAAAGACATGCCAGAAGCATGTCTTTGGAACACTTCCTGGACACATTCGAGAAGAGTCGGAGACTGAGAGTACGCTCGGGAATCATCGAAGGGGAACCAAGTGTCGTCATAAGGCAAGAATCGTCTTGGAACCTTCTCTTGCAAGATCTCAATACCATTGGGGGCCATTTCAATGAAGTCCTGGATACTTTGCAGGAAGAACCAGACAGAGTCCCGAGAATTGTATCTTGGCAACTTTCCGCTGCTCAGCAGATTGGGAATCATGCCATGCTTCAGCACACTCGCAAAAGCAATGATATGCTCCTTGGCATCATCAAAGCGTTGAGTGCAAAGGAATAAGCCACGGATAGAGATGAAGATATCTCTTCCCCAGCATCTTGTCCAGTCAACTGCAAAATGAGGCAGTCCAGCTGCAAGACTGGGGACCATCTTGGTGGGCCACAAGGAAGCGGATTTCACATAACCAGTTTGTTGAACGCTGACCATAGCCAATTGGTGAATGAATTCTTGGCCGTGCCGCACATTGTCTCCAAGGAGATGAATACCTCTCTTCCAAGCAGCGTTGTATGCAACCTGCAGAATGATTGCGAAATACCTCGGGAAAAGGAAGTTGGGCAAGTTGCGGACAGTGTCGAACTTCTCACGAAGCCATGCGGCAGGCTTTTCCAGGGCAACATATCCTTCCTTGGAAGCCGCCTTCTTCATGCGACCAATGATGTAATCCAAAGCCCACTGGCCCTCTCGCAAGTGATCGCAGAGTGGGTGGCCAAGTTTATTATACTTGATGATGTCCTCAAGGACACTCCACCAGCCCTGAAGACCAGCATAGACCATAGGATCATGGTTCGGAATGGTGTAAATGCCATCCTGACCGTCGCTAGAGTCTCTCTCTTCAGCTTCGCACCGGTATAGCACAAAGTTTAGATCAACCAAGCTGAGCTCAGAGAATGCATCGTCCGCACCGTTGGTGAGGTTGTTTTCAAATCCATCGTCATGATCTGCGCCAGGAATCCATGTCTCGAAAAGAGCAATGGACCCAGGAACAAGAGAATCCAGTACGGAGATTTTGACTTCTTTGTCGTTTTGCTCGATCTTGGTGCCTTCAATGTCGCGGGTATGGCTGGGAAGACCCTTCAAGTACTGGTCATCGGCCAGAACCTTCGCCTTTGCTTCATCGCTGGTATCAACCTCGAGCTGCCACGATCCGATATGCTTGGCACTAGTACCAGAAATATGGGTGGGGGCGAGAATTGCGCCACTCTCATTGCCAGGGAATGCAGTATGTGCGACCAAGAAGATACCTTTTCTGGTCTTGGGGTGAACTCTGTGGACAGTGATGAACTCACCATCGTGATGGATGTGAGTTTCGTCATAGCCTTCAACTCCCATCATAGTGTGGAGCTCATTCAGAAGCTTCTTGACACCACCAATTCCACCCTCTCCAGATCCGACGGCCAGACTCTCGGAATTAGAGGATTGAGAGGCGTATTGTCGAGTCTCGTGGACAAGATCGATGAGTTTGGGATACACCTCGTCGTAGCCCATCACACTTCCAGTCGCGGAGGCACACATTGCCACAAGAGCAGCATTGGGAAGAGTGTCCCTGGCGTCGCGCTTCTGAGCAGAGACCTCATTGTCATGGGTACAGTCCATGAACAAGGCCGGCACTGGACAGGGCCGAATATGAGTGATCTTGTCTTCGGTGTTACCAGACCTAGCTGACGCAATGGCATGACTACTGCCGGCAGAAGGCAAATCCATCTCGAAGCTACCTATCGGCTGGCCACCATGACGGTGAACAAGGCGACTCAGCTCTTCTGTGCTCCAGGCCTGCATGGCTTCGCGAATCAGAGCATTGATGCCCAGACGTTTGACGAAGACATAGTCGGCCTCCTCCGAGCCCGTGAAGAGTTCCGCAAACACAGTCAGCTCAGGCCGGACTTTGCGAGCTTCGTCCAGCAAATATTCTGCAACCACTAGCGGCGTCGAATGACAATTATCAATTCGGAACCCAGTGAAGTACTTGGCCATAAGGCGGGTATACCGTGTCATAAAGTCCCAGAGGAAAGGACTATCTTCTGGAGAGGATCCGTATCGAAGCTTTACGCAATCACCCCACACAATAACTTCGCGGCGTAAATAGGCCCTGGAATCCGGCCCGGCATTATCTTTCATGGCATCGGCATTCCAGATCCAACCGTTATTGACCAAAGCCAGGGCTTTGGGGTCGTGCTTTTTCGTGACATCATTGAGAGGCAGGCGGGTAAAGTAAGTCTCAATCAATGGGTTTTCCTTGGTGACAGGACCCATCTTGGGACCATGATCCTCAATTCTGAGATACTTGATGCGATTGAACAGTTGATCCATGATAACATCAACGTCTGCATCATACTCCCTGTAGAATGGCAAGTTGGCCTCGTCGAGGAGCTTGGTCAAGGTCTCTTCAACTTCGGCGAGGTTGGTGTGTGCCTCATTGTAATCCCCAAGAAGCACATTCAAAGCAACTGCTCCAAACTTCGGGTCGACAGCACGGCCAAACCGTCCGAGAACCTGCTTGACGGTTGGAATGCCAAACTCGCGAAGAACGTTGGCTTGTTGGGTGAGCGACCAGTTTTTGAACTGCTGCATCTCGTCCCGTTCGACAAGGGCGGGGTCGATATTTGCGTTGATCCATTCGTCCAAAATCTTCTTAACGTTATCCTTCACATCGAGAACATAAAATTCCCATAGACGAGTTCCATCAATGGCTTGCTTGCGCGCCGCGTTCATGACTGTCACCAGATCTTCCTCGGTTTTGAACTCTGTCGGAAGACCTTCGTCCTGGAGGCTATCGCCGAATTTCAAAAGCGCCGAGTCCAGCTCGAAGGCTGCCTCCAGCCACGGCGCGGTCTCCACGCTGTATCCAGATTCGGGATGCTCCTCCAGCCACTTGCTATTATTAGCTGTGTGGTTCCAGACCACATCAGTCAGTGTGAGAAGACCATAATCTTTCTCCATCTTCGCGACCAATGACGCGACATCGTCTTCTCCATTAGGGAAAAATGCGCTGTCAAATGCCAGTTGATCAAAAATACTATAGGGTGAGTTGGACGAGCCACGCTGCATGAGGGGTGTGAAATGAACCATGTTGTAGTTCCGCTGGCCAATTCCACGAAGGTGTCTGTCCCAGTCTGTGGGGTATTCACCCATGAACTTTGAGATCACCGAGAAGATAGAGAGTGCATTGAGCGGCAAGTCTTTCCCCTGAAGGGTAAGTTTGGGCGACACATCAATGTAGTGAACAGGCGTCTGAGTCGGCTTCGGGGCAGACACCT